GAAACTTTCATAGTACTCACCAAGGCTAGACTCCACATGTACTTCCTCGAATTTTGATTACCATGTTTACATGTTTACAGCAATATTTATTTATTTATTTATTTTACAGTACTAAATTACAGCTACTTCTGTTGTGCCTAGAAAAACTATAAAAAGAAGTCAATGAGCAGAAATAAGTTTGGGCTTTTGGCATGGAGAAAAAGACTCTTCAAAAATTTCCTCTTTTGTTATTTCCCCCTTCTTCTTTCTCTTCGCTCAAGGCTTTAATGAGATCACATGGATCCTTTAAGCAAGGTTTGGGTATCACTACAGACAAATTTAGATCCAACATAACCAGACAACATATCCATCACACAGAAGCTACCAAACCCGATCTCTTACTCACAATATTTTATCAATGATGAGGCTTAGCCTAAGAAAATCTCTCTTGAACCGACATCCTTCCGAATAAAACCATGAACCGGCCATCAGTCAACAAGAAACCAGGATTACATAATAAAAAATAAAACAATACACTCCTTAAATTCACTCCGTGCCGCACCGATCCATCTCAGAAGCAAACAAAGCACAGGCACAACAAGCCCTATCTCTATCAATTAACGAATTCCAGCACCCCGGCCACCATCAAACCTTAATAACCCCGACAATTCTTTAAAAAATTACAAAATTTACGCACGCACATACAAAAAACACAATCGGAATATGAATTCGTGAAGTTACAGTTACCAAGAAGCGAATTGAAATGAATAGCTTGAGAACTCTGGATCGCAGAGGTAAGCCAACGTTTGAGATAAGGAACCGAAAGCCCGCGGTTATCCCCCCTTCAACTTCCTGCCTTAAGCCTCTCTTCTTATTCTTTCACTGGAACCAGCGATGGCACTGAGAGGGAGAGGGAGAGAGGAGGAGAGGGAGACGGGGCTAAATAGTTGGGACCAGAAGACCGGCGATCTACGATTCTTCCCCGACTCCTTCAGAGATGACGATGCATGTGGCTTTACGTGAGCCGTTAAATCTGATTTGATCTTCTACTTTCCGTTCGTCGGGCGGATCTGATCTAAACAAATTAAAAAAAAAAAAGTTTGTTTAAACATATAAATCTTCATGTATTTTTTTTATGTGATTCAGAATAAAAAATCTGATATAAATAAATTAATTCATAATTTTTTTTAATATTTTATATAATAAATGTATATACAAATGAAATGTGTGGTTTGTGTACAAATCTCAAAACAAAATTTGAATTATCTCGATGAAAATGATCAATTAATTATATTTATACGTATAAACGATGTGGTCGATGATCGAAATATTGTGATGACATAGGTCAGCGATTTGTCATTCGGTCTTTGATATAGTACATTATGGTTGTATTTGGGATAAAATGTTAACAAATACAGGTCACTGATGATGATGAGCAATGACAGTCAGCGGGGGTCGACGGTAGCAGACGGCAGTGGCAGGCTGTCATTCGGTCTTTGATATAGTACATTATGGTTGTATTTGGGATAAAATGTTAACAAATACAGGTCACTGATGATGATGAGCAATGACAGTCAGCGGTGGTCGACGGTAGCAGACGGCAGTGGTCGGCGACTATGGAGGTCGGAAGTTATCGTCGGATCTTCAATACGACATTATACTTTGCAACCATTTTTTGGGATTCGATGTTAGCTGTCAAGGGTTATTTACGACGGCGAACAGGGGTGGTCAGTGGTGGTTAATGATGATTGGCAGTTGCAGAGATCATCGAGCCTTCGATCTATAACATTTTATGGAATTTCTTCTCTTATACCTCTTCCTTGAGTGAAGAGAGAGAGCATGTTTTTAAGTTATACGATAATGATAATTTAATCATTTGGTAAATAACTTTTTCAGCCATATCTTTGATCATTGTGTTTTTTAATGAGTTTGTGGTCTTTAATGACCTCAAAATTCAATGATTTTATGTGCGTTAGATTTCCCTTGTCGAGACGCTCAATTTGAATATAAATAAGTTAAATTTGGAGTTCATTTGACCATTAAGCTAATGATTCCAAATCTCCAAAAGTGTTCTAATGGTTTAATACGGGCTTGGTTGGTCTTAGATTGAATCAATTTAAGTCTCATCGGGTGTGTCTAATCGAGACAGTTAGTCTAATTATATACTTGCTGAAATTGTCGCACTACATGAATTTGAATTTGAATCTAAACATTTCTTCCTAAAAATATCTCGAGATTCGAGCTGGATGAAAAAATTTATTCATAACACATCATTATTCATAATTTGGGGGGTTGAGCTCGACTTAAATGTAAAATATCACGAACTGAGACTAATTTTAATATATAAAAGTTATTTTAAAATGCAAAAATTAATACATGATGGCAAGCGTAAGAAAACTTAAGAGTTAACTTTTGCATGTATCTATGTATTAACTTCAATAAGGTAAATTTACAAAAACTCACTCACTTGCTTAACTTTAAAAGCTCGCTCACTTGCTTTGATAAGTGAGTTTTAGAATTCAAATGATCAAACTTCAAAATCTTCTAATCAGAATGCAGTCAATATGTCAGCCAACTAATCCGATCTTCATCTACGCAACGGCTAGTGTCAACGATACTAGTAATTTTATTAACTTCCAAATAAAATTTACAAGTTCAAATCACTTTGTTCGATCCTCCTCTTCGCCAGAACTGGAGGCGACGGGACTAATATCATAAATATATCATATTAAGAAATTCCAAATGAACTGCACAACATAAATGTTTTAAATGTTCAAATCTCTTATTATGATGAGGTTGATATAATATTTGAAATAGAGGCGTTTTTCTTCAAAATTAAATTTTAAAGTATATTTGAATAAATTCAAATGATCTAAATTATAAACCTGATCATTTATAAGCAATATTTTGCTGATCAGGTTCAATATGACTTAATGTGTCAATTCTGAACCCATCCTTTGTAAACAGAGTAGATTTAACAATGCTCAAGCTCAATCATATGTTACTATTGGGCATGATTCTTCACAAGCAAGTTGTGAAATCTTCAGGGTTCAAATGAATTAAGATAAAAAATTCTCTAATGATTGGCGAGTTCATAAGTTTCAACAAATATCTAAAGAAGTCCAACAACTTAAATTCATGAATATGGTCCTCTTTAAGCAAAAATAGAACTTCCAATGCTAAGATTCGATCATTTATTGATCTTCAGACCAATTCTTTACAAACAGTATGTAAAGTTCATGGGGTTCAAATCAAACAATCAAATCGTCGATGATTGTTGTGCTGACTGGATTTTTTAACCGTAAATATCAACTTTTAGAATAATTTTCAATTTTAAGATTTTAAAACAACAAACCAAAACACTAAAATTAAAATCTCAAAGCACTAAAATTAAAATCAATCATTGGGCTTCAAACAAAACAATTAGAACATTTAAGTCAAAATCAATAATTTAAGAACTAAAGCAAATCTCATCTACCATCCACAATAGTTTAATAGGGCGACAAACATTTTAACAATTTTTAACTCGTAAAAAAAATGAATGTCACACTGAGTGTATCATTGTATTTACCCTCAAACTGATCTCATGATAGTGAAGGCATTATTCAAGTCCTCTGTCCACATGATTTGACCCAAATTATAAAAAAAAATAATTGTTACATTGGATTCATATAACCGGGTGTATGCTATCAAATGACATCATTATAGTACAGTCATGATTGCAATCATATGTTTTCTGGCGACTTTCTAACATTCAATTCATTAACTTAAAATGGTACATTTGATCTATAAAAAGGTTTATGTCAGCCAATGTTGACTTAGATTGCCCCATTAAATAAACTTACAACCCATATTGACGAGGGGTACTGGGACGATGTAGCATATGGTTGTTGATAATAATCATTCAGTCAGGTTAGGTCGACTGCCTCCTCTGACTAAGTAGATCAGGGATTACAACATCCCGAGATGATTAAACAATGAGATCCTGCTCGAGTTCATCATCATTTTCCTAACTATTCTCTTAAATCCCAAAATGATACAATTTTATAATCTAAATTTATATATGTGCTTTTACTATACGTTGAATATTCAATGTTTAATAACTAAGCTTAATGGAAAGTGTTTTCTTATTATTGAGAGGAGTAATTAACCACAAAAACTGTGTCTATGGGAAATCTTGAACCCAAGATTAAAAAGTTATCGTTAAATAAGGGTGAAATCTATGGGCAATGTCATATCTGTGTTCCAACCTGTTTTGCAAAAAATTTAACCGGAAATACTAAATAAAAAGCTTTTAACATTAATGAGAGTAAGGGGTGTGAATTTTTAGAGCCCGCAAGTACAAATGTCGAAATAAAGATTCCCAAGAAAGAAAAAAAGAGCCCAATTATTTGTTATCCACTTGCTTCACACTTATTCAACTATGGAGGAAATCTCTAATGAAAATATTGATTAAATGATGATGTGACTAGGCAAACAACTAGACATGCTAAAAGTATGAGCATAATGATCCCATGTTCATGTCATCTAGAGAAATATTCCTATAGAAATAGAAGATTAATTGTAAGCAAATTTTGATTCTCATATCATGGAATCTTGCATATTTCCATGATAACAGAGCTCTCTTACGTGTTGTTCGGTTGACTGAATTTGTGTTACATTGTAATTCTTTTGTAGAGATTTAAGAAAATTATGTACTTGTTATGATGAATTACAATTATAATATACCATATGAATTAATTTGAAATTTACACTGTAGTTCATTTTTGTCTGACTTTAGAAATCATCTAATTTGGCTAAATTTGAATTACACCGTTCATGTAGAATGCTAGCGGCAAGCAACCCCCGCCCGTTGCCGCCTGCTGCACCTGCTGCGCCGTCGATGCCTATTCGTTGCTCACATGTTGTCTGTTGCCACCGCCCTCCGCCGATCACATTGTTTTCAATTTATTTAATGCTAAACAATAAAAACATAATGTGTTACATATATTTTACAACGAACCAAACAACTCAAAAGTATTTCAAATACAATGTAATCATATCAATCTATAAATCATTTACATTGCATTTCATTTCAACAAATCAAATCACCCTTAAACTTCCATCTATATTTCTTTCATTTCTCTAGCTCCATTCCTCGATGCTATCATTTATTAACCAAATTATATTTAATTGCTTCATTATTAGCAAATGTTATACATGATATTAATTAAATAACAATATTAGAAGATAATTGCAAAATAGACAAATTATATGGAAAATGTCAAATATCCCAATGTTAGTTATTTAAAGTTGTTTTTGCACATAAGTATCACATAATTATAATTCTCATGTGCATATATTTAATGCCAAATAAACCATCAATAAAATCAATTTAAAGAGCAGGCAATGCAATCAAATGCTTATTTTTTTTAAATATTAGAAAAATAATATAGGAAGG